TCTCTCTCTCTCTCTCTCTCTCTCTCTCTCTCTCTCTCTCTCACTAACCATATATTATTTATTTGTCTTTTATTAAATTTTGTTCTTATCGCAATATTTTAATAGTAATGTTAACCTAACCTAACCAACCTTTACCGACATGACTGATATAACAATGACCCCAGTGAGAAGAATATATTATATAATCATTATTCCTGTGTTATTTAAACCAGACTATGAAAAAAAAAAAAATATATATAAATGCCAATAAGTTTAAATGAAAAATAAACACGTGTTATTATTTCGATTATTTTTTTTAGTCCTAGAAATTGTATTAGGGATATATTATTTGTTTATTGTTGTTGGCAGTGTTTGTTTGTATTTGTTTTGTGTTTTGTTTGTTTGGTTACTGGTTTGAACAGGTGAATACAATTGCTTTAGTAATTTTTGTTTTCGTTTACCTTTAGTTTTATTATTCATACGCTTGGACACACACACACACACACACACACACACACACACACACACACACACACACATCCAAATCAAACTTAACGCATACTACTTACTGTTTGAACCATAATATAATATAAAAAAACACACAAAACAAACACACACACAAACACAGTAATTGGCCTCGTAATTAAAACAAAAATAAATCGGTGTTTTAATTTCGTCAACCAATCTGTCCTGATAATACCACTATTCTTATATATTTTACCCCGTGTGTTGCCCGTGTTATTATAGGGAAAAAAAATAACGTGTTTGTGTTTCAGGAAAGAGTGAAATTTCTGACAGACAAACAGACAGACAGAGACAGAAAAAAAAATATCGTTGTGACAGTTAATTCGTATATCTGTCCCTATTTCGTCTCTTTTTACCAGTTAATTAGCACCTCTTGTACCAGTTAATTCTCACCTTTGTTCCAGTTAATTCACACCTTTGAACCAGTTAATCCACACCTTTGTACCAGTTAATCCACACCTTTGTACCAGTTAATTCACACCTTTGTACCAGTTAATCCACACCTTTGTACCAGTTAATTCACACCTTTGTACCAGTTAATTCACACCTTTGTACCAGTTAATCCACACCTTTGTACCAGTTAATTCACACCTTTGTACCAGTTAATCCACACCTTTGTACCAGTTAATCCACACCTTTGTACCAACTATGTAAAACACACCTGTCTAATAATGTACACAGTAGCTAATTGCATCAGTAAACTAACCTAACCTAACTTAACCTAACCTAGCTTAACGTAACCTAACCTAACCTAACCACGCATCACAAGGCCCACGCTGGTTGACCTGACTGGTGGATGATTCTTGCTAGTGAGGTGAATGTCTATCTATCTATCTGTCAAGGCCGGCTTAATTGATAGCAATAATTAGATCTTGGTGACCCCTGATTGGATGGATATGTGGTGTGTGTGTGTGTGTGTGTGTGTGTGTGTGTGTGTGTGTGTGTGTGTGTGTGTGTGTGTGTGTGTGTGTGTGTGTGTGTGTGAACTATAAACTTGTCAACACACTTTGTCTTGAAACTTTTCATGGGTCCATTTGAAACTTACGAGGTCCGTTTACCAAGATTACTAAGTCGAATACCCAGAATTATAAGTCGATTACGAACACCAGTTAGTCGATTAACATAATTACTAAGTCGATTACCATGATAACTATATCGAACACCAAGGGAGAGAGAGATAATATAGAGGGAAGGATAGAGAAATGAGGGGGGAGGATAGAGAGAATGAAGGGAGGAGGATAGAGAGAAATGAAGAGGAGGAGGAGGGGAGGATAGAGAGAAGGAAGGGAGGATAGAGAATGAGGAGGGTGGATGAGAGAGAAGGAGGGGGTAAGATGAGAATGAGGAGAGGTGAGACCAGAGAAGGAGGGGGGGTAGGATAGAGAGAGAAAGAGAGAGGGGGGGAGGTAGGTAGAACCCTTTAATTACATCAGAATATTAATATCTCCTCGTCATCGTGTTAATATTAATATGTAACCACGGCTTCTTAACTACCACCATCAATCGGACTAACAGCAAAAAAATAAATCCAATAATTGAGGACAAAATCTCACTGAGTTAAATCATCCCACGAACTGATTTACTTAATTATATTTATTTGATTTTTGTTCAACTTTATTCCCCCAAAAAATTAACCACAGTGTTTTTGTTAATTTATTTGTACATTTATTTCTTTATTCACCTTTACTCAAGTATTTATTTAATTATGTTTTTATCAATTCTATTACGTCTAATTTATCAATTCCTTTTTGGTCTTATATAAATACTTTAAAAAAGATAAATAGATAAATAGATATAAAAGATAGATAAATAGATATAATAGATAGATAGAGAGATATATAGATAAATAGATAAATAGATAGATAAACAGATATAATAGATAAATAGATATAATAGATAGATAGATATATAGATAGATAAATAGATATAATAGATAGATAAATAGATATAATAGATAGATAAACAGATATAATAGATAGATAAAGATATAATAGATAGATAAACAGACCAATTCTAAGATAAAAATAGAGATAAGAAGAAAGACAAACAAACAAACAGACACATAGACAATATATATATATTTATGAATAATTCCATAACAGATCACACAATGTATATATTACTGTACTATTATACTTCCCTACAATAGTATACTCAGACTGTACCGCCTGTAATCTACTGTAATGCCTTAGTAGCGAGGAGGTTGTGTGAGAGAGAGAGAGAGAGAGAGAGAGAGAGAGAGAGAGAGAGAGAGAGAGAGAGAGAGAGAGAGAGAGAGATACGAAAGAAAGAAAGAAAGTTTATGATTCGTTTTTTTCTGTTAATGTGTTTATTTGTTTCATTTTTTCTTCACGGTCTATTGTGTTATGTAGAACTCCTGTCTGTACGTCATTTTTCTTCTTTCTTTGTCCTTCCTTTCTTTCTTTCTTCTCTCCCCTATAATCTTCCTCACTTCCTACACTTGATTTCTTCCTTTTTCCTCTATTTCTCTTTCTCCTATTGTCTTTATTCTTGTCCCTTCTCTCTCCTCCTTCCTCCTATCTCTTCCTAATTTCTTATCTATGTCTCTCATCCTTCCTGTCTTTCTTCAACTTTCTCTCTCTCTCACTTTCATCTCTCCCTATCTCTCCCTGTATCTCTTTCTCTCTCCTTCCCCCTGGCCTTTATATCTCTCTCCCTCCTTTACCTCCCCCCTCTCTCTCTCTCACCTCTCACTCCCCCCTCTCTCTAAACTCTCACCCTCTCTAAACTCTCCCCTCTCCTCTAAACTCACCCCCCTCTCTCTCTCTAAACTCTCCCCCCCTCTCTCTCCTCTAAACTCTCCCCCTCTAAACTCTCCCTCTCTCCTAAACTCCCCTCTCTCTAAACTCTCCCCCCTCTCTCTAACTCTCCCCCTCTCTCTCTCTAACTCACCCCCTCTCTCTAAACTCTCCCCCTCTCTCTCTCTCTAAACTCTCCCCCCCTCTCTCTCTCAAAACTCTCCCCCCCCTCTCTCTAAACTCTCCCCCCCTCTCTCTCTAAACTCTCTCCCCCCTCTCTCTTTCTCTAAACTCACCCCCCTCTCTCTCTCTCTAAACTCCCCACCCCTCTCTCTCTCTCTAAACTCCACCCCCTCTCTCTCTAAACTCACCCCCTCTCTCTCTAAGCTCACCTCTCTCTCTAAACTCACCCCCTCTCTCCACTAAACTCCCCTCCTGCACTATATCATCCCAAGGGATCCCTAGAGCCTTCATTATCCTTTACTGCAGAATCCTTCAAGTGGTGAATCCTACAAAGGCCTTAGTGAAAGCTATCCCAGAACTCCTGTCAGATTGTTGTGTAAAACTTGAGAAGAAAATTGAAATGAAAAGATAAGAGAGAGAGAGAGAGAGAGAGAGAGAGAGAGAGAGAGAGGAATACAGGGATGCAAGAAAAGGAGGAGGAGGAGGAGGGTAGAGGTGGAGAGGTATGGAGGAGGTGGAGGAGAAGGATGAATGATGGAGGAAGATAAGAGAGAAGAAGTGAACCATGATCTGTATCTATTAACTAAATTTACATCCGGGTTATATAATCGAGCTGAATAATAATTAATCTTTCTTCACAAATAACAATAATCCTCAACCTTAAACCAAACAGATACGTAAGTAAATAAACAAATAAACATAAAGAAATAAATAATAATAATAAATAAACATGAATGAGTTTATTTTTGTAACACACTTAATATAACCCGTTTTTAAATCATTTTGTAGTTTTATGTAGTTTTTGTCGACAGTAAAAACTCTTAACATTTTCTCACTTTTATTTTATTATTTTATGTATTTTTGGTAAGGCAGGATTTTTTTTTTGCGGAGGTCTCAGAATTTTTCGTTTTTTTTTGTGTATAATTTTTACAATTTATTATTTATTTTAAGTTTATTTGGATTATTCATTATTTATTTATTATGGTGTTATTTATATTTTTTCTTTTTCATCATCATCCATCTCTCTCTCTCTCTCTCTCTCTCTCTCTCTCTCTCTCTCTCTCTCTCTTACTCCTTTTTCTTGTATTTTTTTCTTGGAAGAAGGAAATGGAGAAGAGGGAAGAAGACTAAGACTAAAAGCACGGAAAGAAAAACAAAAGAGGGAATAATAAAAATAAATGGAAAAAATAAGAATTAAAAGGAAAATAAAAGAGGAAATGAAGTAAAATTGGAAGAAAAGTGAGGGAGAAATGAGGGAGGAAAGGTGGGAGGTAAAAGGAAGGATGGAGGGTGAAAATGGGGGAAAGGAGAGAGCGGAGGGAGGGAGGAAAAACGAAAAGGAAGTGAGAGAAGGAAGAAGGGGGGAGGGAGGAAGGGAGGTAGAGAACGGAAGGGAATGAAGTGAGAGAAGGAAGGAGGAAATAATGGGAAAGGAGGAAGGAATGGGCGAGAAGGAGGGAAGGAGGAAGGTGGTAGGCACGGTAAGCTCCGCCCCACCACCGAGAGAGGGAGAGAGGGAGGGGGGAGCTGGTCGACCGCCATCGGTTCAGAAGACCTCAGGTCCTCGCGCTGTTGGGTCGCTCGCTCACTCTTGTCGATCCTTCTCCCGTCACGCCGCTGCCGCCACTACCAACAGGTGTGTGTGTGTGTTGCGGGTGTGTGTGTGTGTTGCGGGTGTGTGTGTGTGTGTGTGTGTGTTGCGGGTGTGTGTGTTGCGGGTGTGTGTGTGTGTGTGTGTGTGAGTGTGTGTGTGTTCATTCACTTGAGCTGACCTCATAGTGTTATCGCGTTAATACAAGTGTAAGTGTCATCATCACCTGCCGTCACCTGTTCTGGCCAGGTCTTTCACCTGGCCTGTCTCTAATCAGGCGTGGGAGGGGAGGGGCGGCTTCCATGGCCTGTGTTAACTCAGGGGTGTTCACCTGCCCTCACCTGCCCTGTGTGAATTCAGATGAGTGTGTTCACGTGTTTTTGTGTGTCTGTTCACCTGTCCTCACCTAGACTGGTTGAGGTGTGTGTGTGTGTGTGTGTGTGTGTGTGTGTGTGTGTGTTCACCCGAGCTCACCTTAACAAGAGCCCCTGTGTCAGCTGATGAACAAACCAATGAACACCAAACGAGTGACTACGCGCGTCAAAATGTAAACACCCATCAGCTGACTTGACATTCCAGTAAGACAAACCACATCACCTGACGAGAAGTGATTGAGTTACCTGTATTAACTCCAGAGAAAAATAATATGAAGTAAAAGATCCCCCAAATATATTACTTTTATCACCCAATAACTGATTAATTACAAAAAACAATAACAACATAGTGATCAGGTTTAGAAATATAACACAGGTAAAACTATTAATTAACTCAGGTGTGTTGGAGTCATATGTTCACACACCTGGATAATGAAGCTCAATATTAGTGTTTTACTCAACAGGTGTTTCAGGAGAACTTTCAGGTTAAACAAAGATGTGAGAAAATATCAATATTACTAGACATGATAAATCGTCCTTGAGGTGAGTTGTAGTGACAAGATGACAGTGTGTAAAAAGTGACTTAGAGGAAATAAATGGAAATTGCATTGTGACCACGAGAAATAGTTGTGGATTTTGACTCAATAAACGAGAAGAATAGAAATTAATAAATAAATGAAATAAAATAAATTATTCACGGAAACTTGACTGAAAAAAAATGAAAAATTGACTTTGAGAAATTATAAGGAATTAGAGGGTACATATAATCCCCGAATTAAAAAGATACACGAATGAAAAGTAACCCCCCAAAAAATATTGAAAAAAGTTGTGTAATTTCACTGATAAAACAGAAGAAATCGCGTGAACTAACATAAACAGAGAAACAAATAGTGGAGAGAGAGAGAGACAAAATACCAGTGAGGTGAGGAAGAAGTGGCGGAAGCAACAAAACAAATCAACTTTCAACTTCCTCAATCAATCAACTCTTCAACCCCAGCAACACCCAGGTAAGTCAAGTCAATTATCTTCACACGTAAATATAACCCTCCCTTCCCTCCTCCTCCTTCCCAACCCCTACCACACCTTTCCCCTCCCTTCCCATCCACCCTCCCAATCCCTAACATTACCTTTTCCTCCTTCCTCCTCCCTCCTTCCCAACCCCTACCACACCTTTTCCTCCCTTCCCATCCACCCTCCCCAGGTATACAAGACATCATGTGTGGATGACAGGTGTAACACAACTTCAAATAAGGATAACACGAAACATCTGCTAGGGAGTGAGTGGGCTGTTATATACATTCTCAGATGGTAGAGGGAGTAGGTGGGGTGAGTGGGGGAGTAGGTGGGGTGGGTGGGGGAGTAGGTGGGGTGGGTGGTGGCGCAGATCTTAAGAGATTGTCGGGGTGAATGTAAAAATAAAAATACAAAAATAATTAACAAATCTAGAATGTTTTAAGTTATGTTGATCTTGTGGTTATTTTATGTGGTAATGGTGTTGTGGCGACCTGTGGTGTAATGGTCAGCATGTTAGCCTTGCAAGCGAGCGGACCCACGTTCGATCCCCAGGCAGGGTGAAGCTGTGGGCAAGTTCCTCTACGCTATTTGCCTCTGTCTACCCGGCAGTAACTGGGAACCTGGGTATTACACGACAGGCAACCATTAAGGTGTTGTGATGGTTATAAAGATTCAGTTTAAAGATACGAGATAACAACTTTTAAGCGTTGTGAAGTTTACCTCAGCTGTGAAATATTTTCCACGAGGTGTGAAGAACAAATTGTTTCAGAATATAACACCTGAGGTTCTAACGCTCGGTGTGTTCTGTTCATTAGTTTCTTACACTTATCAGAATCACACAGAATATACACGCATACTTCCTATACCTACGTCTTAATATAGATGTGGGCTTTTTTTTATACGACGCGACATGCAGACAATGACCCTCTCCTTCCATTCAAACACTCACTTCAGAAATAACTGGAGAAGACGCAGGCGAACACATTAGACAACAAAGGCTAATTGAGTCGATTATTTAGTCAATTACATTAAATATCGTATTAATAGTCGCTGAAAGTCGTAGATGGAAGGGAATTCTGTCCATTGAAGAGATTTCCCATTGGTGAAGTATTGAATGAAAGGAAAGGTAAATGAACTTTGTATTTCTATATAATTTGAGGTAAAATTTTTCTTAGTTTGAGAATTGTTGATTAAAGCACCGAACGTTTCTTTAAAAATTACTGACTGTTTAACTTGGCCAAAGTGAAACGAAATAAAGAATTATATATGTGAGGTAGTACAGGTGTGTTAACTTGCAAATGACGCAGTACAGGTGTTATTGAATATGCAAATGACGCAGTACAGGTGTTATTGAATATACAAATGACGCAGTACAGGTGTTATTGAATATGCAAATGACGCAGTACAGGTGTTATTGAATATACAAATGACGCAGTACAGGTGTTATTGAATATACAAATGACGCAGTACAGGTGTTATTGAATATACAAATGACGCAGTACAGGTGTTATTGAATATACAAATGACGCAGTACAGGTGTTATTGAATATACAAATGACGCAGTACAGGTGTTATTGAATATGCAAATGACGCAGTACAGGTGTTATTGAATATGCAAATGACGCAGTACAGGTGTTATTGAATATACAAATGACGCAGTACAGGTGTTATTGAATATGCAAAATGACGCAGTACAGGTGTTATTGAATATACAAATGACGCAGTACAGGTGTTATTGAATATACAAAATGACGCAGTACAGGTGTTATTGAATATACAAATGACGCAGTATGTGTGTTATTGAATATACAAAATGACGCAGTACAGGTGTTATTGAATATACAAATGACGCAGTACAGGTGTTATTGAATATACAAATGACGCAGTACAGGTGTTATTGAATATGCAAATGACGCAGTACAGGTGTTATTGAATATACAAATGACGCAGTACAGGTGTTATTGAATATACAAATGACGCAGTACAGGTGTTATTGAATATACAAATGACGCAGTACAGGTATTATTGAATATGCAAATGACGCAAATGACGCAAAACAGGTGTTATTGAATATGTAAATAAAGCAGTAAAGGTGTTATTGAATATACAAATGACACGGTAAAGGTGTTCTTGCTGTTTTACTAAATATGAAAATACAGCAATTATATAAAGTATCCAGACGAAGTATTCGAGGTATATTATAGAAAATACAACTGAAATACATTATAAAATATACAAAATTAAACAACATGTATAATAAACCCACTCACCCACCCCCCAATCACTCACCCACTCACCCACCCACCACTCACTCACCCACCCACTCACTCACCCACCTACCACCCACCCACTCACTCACTCACCCAACCACCCACCCACCCACTCACTCACTCACCCACCCACTCACTCACCAATTCACTCATTCACTCACAGTATTGAACCAATTTAGGCCAAACGCTGAGACACTGTAAACCTTGAGACCAAACCACACGATCTACAGACGCCTTGGAGTTGACTAAGCGATCCACTAATAAGTAGTAGTAGGTAGTAGTAGTAGTAGTTACCAGAGAGCCAAAGATATTATATACCACCAAAGTAACACATTCATGGACACTGTTTAGCAAGTTGTGTATGTTACCTGAGAGGAGGGGGGGGGTGTGTTAAGGTGGTTAGTGGTCCAGCGTTTGCTACTACTATTACTACTATTAATACTTACTATTATTATTACTACTATTTTATACTAATACTATATTCACAAGACACTCATACACACAACACCAAAAAAAAAAATACTAATCACACACACACACACACACACACACACACACACACACACACACACACACACACACACACACACACACACACACACACACACACACACACACCATACTTCAAAATGCTATTATATCTCTCTCACCTTTCTGCTTCCTCGACTGTGGTATCTCTCTGTCTGTCTATCTCTCGCTCTAAATATATCTTTCTTTTTCTCTCTCTTAATGTATACTGTATGTGTGTCTCTCTCTCTATGTATCTGTCTCTCTCAATATATCTCCCTGTCTTTGTCTCACTTTATCTCTATCTCTCTCGACGTCCCCTACTGTTTGGTTCTCCCTTGTATACAACCTTGAACAAACTCCATAAATATTATTATCACACATACACATCACCTCAAAGTGCGTTCCCTTAAGGCGCTTCAACACAGAGTCAATACCTTAAAATCTCTGGCATTAAGTGAGTCAATACCTTAAAATCTCTGGCATTAAGTGAGTCAATACCTTAAAATCTCTGGCATTAAGTGAGTCAATACCTTAAATTCTCTGGCATTAAGTGAGTCAATACCTTAAAATCTCTGGCATTAAGTGAGTCAATACCTTAAAATCTCTGGCATTAAGTGAGTCAATACCTCAAATTCTCTGGCATTAAGTGAATCAATACCTCAAATTCTCTGGCATTAAGTGAGTCAATACCTTAAAATCTCTGGCATTAAGTGAGTCAATACCTTAAAATCTCTGGCATTAAGTGAGTCAATACCTCAAATTCTCTGGCATTAAGTGAGTCAATACCTCAAATTCTCTGGCATTAAGTGAATCAATACCTCAAATTCTCTGGCATTAAGTGAGTCAATACCTTAAAATCTCTGGCATTAAGTGAGTCAATACCTCAAATTCTCTGGCATTAAGTGAATCAATACCTCAAATTCTCTGGCATTAAGTGAGTCAATACCTTAAAATCTCTGGCATTAAGTGAGTCAATACCTTAAAATCTCTGGCATTAAGTGAGTCAATACCTCAAATTCTCTGGCATTAAGTGAGTCAATACCTCAAATTCTCTGGCATTAAGTGAATCAATACCTCAAATTCTCTGGCATTAAGTGAGTCAATACCTTAAATTCTCTGGCATTAAGTGAGTCAATACCTTAAAATCTCTGGCATTAAGTGAGTCAATACCTCAAATTCTCTGGCATTAAGTGAGTCAATACCTCAAATTCTCTGTCATTAAGTGAGTCAATCCCTTAAATTCTCTGGCATTAAGTGAGTCAATACCTCATATTCTCTGGCATTAAGTGAGTCAATACCTTAAAGTCTCTGGCATTTCACTGAGTCAATACCTTAAAATCTCTGGCATTTCACTGAGTCAATACCTTAAAATCTCTTAAGCATTAAGTGAGTCAATACCTCAAATTCTCTGGCATTAAGTGAATCAATACCTCAAATTCTCTGGCATTAAGTGAGTCAATACCTTAAATTCTCTGGCATTAAGTGAGTCAATACCTTAAAATCTCTGGCATTAAGTGAGTCAATACCCCAAATTCTCTGGCATTAAGTGAGTCAATACCTCAAATTCTCTGTCATTAAGTGAGTCAATCCTTTAAATTCTCTGGCATTAAGTGAGTCAATACCTCATATTCTCTGGCATTAAGTGAGTCAATACCTTAAAGTCTCTGGCATTTCACTGAGTCAATACCTTAAAATCTCTGGCATTTCACTGAGTCAATACCTTAAAATCTCTGGCATTAAGTGAGTCAATACCTTAAAATCTCTGGCATTAAGTGAGTCAATACCTTAAATTCTCTGGCATTTCACTGAGTCAATACCTCAAATTCTCTGGCATTTCACTGAGTCAATACCTTAAAATCTCTGGCATTTCACTGAGTCAATACCTTAAAATCTCTGGCATTAAGTGAGTCAATACCTTAAATTCTCTGGCATTTCACTGAGTCAATACCTCAAATTCTCTGGCATTAAGTGAGTCAATACCTTAAAATCTTTGGCATTAAGTGAGTCAATACCTTAAAATCTCTGGCATTAAGTGAGTCAATACCTCAAATTCTCTGGCATTAAGTGAGTCAATACCTTAAATTCTCTGGCATTTCACTGAGTCAATACCTCAAATTCTCTGGCATTAAGTGAGTTAATCCTCAAATTCTCTGGCATTAAGTGAGTCAATACCTTAAAATCTCTGGCATTAAGTGAGTCAATACCTCAAATTC